TAGTTCTTAAGCATTGTGAAAACATGACATTAAATAATTAATCCTCCAGTCATTAATAGCTGGTGTTAGCAGAAACAATCTGCCTCACACCAATATATTGCAGAAAGAAGCAAGTAAAACAACAGCTAAGAGGTGAGAAGGCTAACAAGTCCTAGTGGGCATGGTGGCTTCTGATGTTTATACAGTGGACCCTTGACTTACAGACGGCTTGACTTACAGTCTTTTTGAGTTACAGACTTCTCTGGCCGCAAAATTTAGGTTTGACTTGCAGACTGAGATTTGACTTACAGACCAGAAAAAAACCAAAATGGAACAAAAATGGCCTGTTACGGGATTAATCGGTTTTTAATGCACTGTAGGTCAATGGAGACTTGACTTACAGACTTTTTGACTTGAGAACCGCCTTCCAATACGGATTAAGTTCTCAAGTCAAGACCCCACTGTACAAGCAAACTTTTCCAAACTATAGTGTAAAGAATAGAATTGGCTATGGGAACCCTGGAGGACAGCTGTCCAGTAGAAAATCCAGCAGGTGCATGGTGGTTGGTATGAAAGAGACAGTGCAAGCTGGCAAAGTGTGAGAAAGCGACAGACTGTGGAACCACTGGTCTCAATGAGTGGCTCCAGTGGGGCTGCTAAACCAGTGATCTGCGATTAAAGGATTATGAGAAAGGAATCTAAAAACTTCCTTGGGGGTTTCTGAAAAAGCACCTGCAGCAGGAACTCGCCTCCACAAGTAGACCAAGGATTGAAGCAAAGCTTAGGCTTGTCAACAGCTTGAAGAACAAGCATCTGTGGGCAGAAGCCCATCACGACTCTCAGGCTGCTGCTAATTGCTGCTTACAAGATGATGAACGGATGTATAACTTAGGAGGAGGAACTGAATTTCAAAGTGTGGATTTTAAAGCCTATGATGCCAGGGTTCATTAATACATTTAATACTAAGCAATCAAGTGGCAGTAACTCCCCCACTGCTTACAAAGGAATGCTTGGTGCCATAGCAGTGCCTAATAAAAAGCTGGAAAATCCAAATCCTTAATGACTCACCTGCTTAACTTGATGCTACAGTAAACATTACTACTGGGGATGTTGCTCCGCTGTGGGAGGAAGGGTGTTCCAGTAACTGCAAATGAAGTTATAGGTAGGAGATAACTAGAGATCTGTCTTCTATATTAGATCAATAGGTATTTGACAAATAACCTATTACACATCAATATACCAACGTCAGCTACTAGGCCTAAGAAATTTTATATGAGACAAGTAATTGTACACTATTTAGAATAATCCAAGGATTGCTGCTGAATTATTTCATTTTTACAAACTGCTATTGGATCATTGTGGGAGAAACAGTAAAATAATTCACACTAAGAGCATAGTCTTTTGTATGCATGATTGGAGACATATGTACACAGAGTCTTTTAGATGTGAATGCATTCCTCTGTGGATTCCACCAAGTGCCAAGACATACTCTTGGACAGCCTACAATAAGTTAGAGCAAATGATTGCTCAGTAACGCCAATATCTAGGGAGAGGCATGTGAGGGAAAAACATCCAGTTACTTATCTGCTCATGTTAATTTACATATTCTGGGAAGTGGGGGGGCAGAGAGGCAAGGTAGTAAAGAAAATCTGAGGTGCTATCAGAACTTCCCAATTTGGGATGTTTCATTTAAAAAAATCCTCATGCTGAGAGTTGCACCTGAAAGCACCTAAATTTAGCTCTGCTGGGAGAAAGGCCTATGGTGCCCTGGTACTTGCTGGGACCATCCTTTTGAACAGGAAAGGAAGTAAGGGGAAACTAGGTCTATGCAAGGTCATGAAGCATTTAGCTGTCTGTCAGGTGGGACTCAGAATGGAGAATTCCGGGATTTGTAGTTAAAAAAAAACCATATACAACCTTGTAACAGTAGCATATACTAAGTAGCATAATAGAACAGGAAGCAACATAACAGTATTTTAATGCTAAAATGATTGTTTTCTTTTAAATACCTGAAAAGCGAATACATTAGATGATTATTCTTTGAAAATTCAAAGCACACTTTGACTGGTATAAAGTAACAGATACAAGTTTTAACCAATAACCTAAGTATCAGTGTAATATGTATGCTGTTCCTAATATGGTCATTTTTGCAGCTCTGATTTCAGAGATCTGCAGCTGATTACAATATTTTATAAATTTCTGCAGCATTGTTTCTGATGACTATGGGGGCCACTGAAACATGTTTCATCCATAAGTGAGTTATTTCTATTGCTGCATCTCTGCATTTTGTTAATTTTTCCAATTCTTCATCTTTAGCTCATTCTGTTACTGTTATGTCTGGTGTGCTATGCTCAAGGTGTCTGTCCATTTGAATCCAAAGTCCCACAGGATCTTAACTTGGTTGTCTTCTGACACCTTGTCTACCTGATGTTCCAGTAGCGGAAGTTACATTGCACAAAGTTGATGACTTCATCAGCCATGATAGTCTTTCAGAAGATCCTGAATTTCTGAAAAATGCTGTGGCTGGTAAAATCATCCTCACACTCCTGCAGCCTGTAACAGCTTCCCCACAATGACGGGGATACCAAGGTAGTTTCTGAAAAACTAGTGTGACAGGTGTTACACCAACAACCTTATGCAGTGTAACTTTTGGCAACAGGATTTCAGCCATGAAAGCATATACCTTTATCTTTTTATTCCAAACAGCATCGCTCTGAGTCAATTGCAACTATAAACAGAAACAGCAAAGATACTTTTTGCCCCTTAAAAGACCAGCAAGTTTTATCTTGCATAAACTTTCCAACTGCAATTCACTTCTTCATTTGCAGAAGACCATCTCTGCTTCATATAATCAGCTTGGTTGAAGGAACACAAATAGAACATGTAACAGAAACAGAGTTGACCAGGAAGGAGCAGTTTCCTAAGATGAAGAAAACAGTATTTTGTAAGTGGTCTTCAGTTCCTTTATTGGGAGAAAAGCAGGACGTTAATAAAATAAATGAATGAAAGGGAACAAGACTGGTGTTTTTATTTCATCAGATGAATATGGTTAACCCTTGGAAATCATAAGCTACATGCCTCCTCAATAATGTATGATTTTTAAACAAGGTAAATTAAAAAAAAAGGGAAAAGCCATGTTGGATCAGACCAAAGGATCTCACACAAACCACAATAAACATTTATCATATGTACAATATCTGTGTATGTAAGTATGTACATAATAATAATTGTGTGCCATCAAATCAATTCTGACTTATAGTGACCCTTTAGGGGGTTTTGAGAGTACTCAGAAGTGGTTTACCACCCCCTTATCTGGGTACGTTCTGGGACTGTGCAGCTTGTGCAAGGCCACGCAGGTGAACCCTTTTAGGATGACAGCAGAAAACTGAACTTCCAGCAACTGGCTCCACAGTCAGATACCTAACCCACTGAGCAATCTATCCAGCTTACATATGTACATACATACATGTGAACCAAACTTGCATTTTGCAAACATTTCTCACTGCTTCTAGACATGAAATTCTCCTCCAAATCCAAGAATAAAAGGCTGGTGGGAATACCCATATGCCTGTCTAAGGTCCATGTACCATGAGTGCTTTGTGATGGATGTTACTGCAGATGATCCACAGAGGATGGTTAAGGAGGACTGGCTCAAGATATTTTGCTGCCTGAGGCAGAGCAATAAATGGTGCCTCCTCAACTCAGATAAGTCAAAGCACAGTTCCCAAATCCAGCCAAATAATTTTGGCAGAAAATCTTATGAATACTTCTTGATTTTACATGAGAATAAAGTCATATATTAAATCACTAACAGTTTCTTGGCCTTCTATAACACCCTGAATCTGTTGCCTGAGGTGATCAACTTCCTCTGCTCTTGGGATTGCATTGACAGATTATGGAGCAAATGAAATGGATGAATCAATTGCTGACAGGTGGTGGATTCACCTGTCACTTTATTTCCTTTGATATGGAGCAAATGAAATGGATGAATCAACTGCTGACAAGAGGGAAAAGGTCACTGTGGTGGATTCACCTGTCACTTTATTTCCTGAAAAATACTGGACATTAAATATGAGATATAATCTATACCATGTAAAGGCTTACTTACTAAAAGTAACAGGCACTAAGTATCTTGATATATACTGTACAACTCCTGTTTGCCATAGAATGTGCTAAATAAAATAGCTTGCTATGTGGCACTTTGCAAAAGCTTTCAATGACTATGCAGAGATCTGAAAAAAGGCAACTGTTGGACACTGCTGTCCTATGCAGCTTAGCTTCAGCTATGCTTGGAAAAATCACCTTTTAAAAAAAAAATTGCAACTGGCTGGAGTATTCCTGCAAATGCTGTCCAAAAAAGGAACTTTTTCAGGCTGTGGTCTAAATGGCTTTGAAGCATCCATAACCACTTGAGAAGTGTGAAGTGAAGCTCTTTCTTGCACTACCCCCTCACAGAAACACACAGAATCTCTACAGAAAGACTTCACAAATACATTGTTCTTTAGTAGAAGTCAGTATGAACAGAAAGAGAGCCCAGCAGATTGAGGGCCTGCTCCTGTGTGCTCCCCCATTCTGTTTTCATAAGGGCTGACCAGATGCCTGTAGAAGGCCATGTAGGATACAACAGGCCAAGGATGCAATAGGACCTTCCTCCCCACTTGTGTTTTCTGGAAACTGGTTTTCAGGGGCCCACAATAATGAGGACCTAATTTTTCTAGTAGTCACAGGTATTTATTCTTCATGAATTTGCATGAGCCCCCTTTTTAAAGCAGTCTGAGTTTGCAACCATCACTATTATCTTCTAGGGGGAAATTCAACAGTTTAGCTACACAGTGTTTGCAGAAGTGTTATCTTTAATTTGTGGAGAACCCCTCACCATTCAGATTTAGAGGATGATCTACTAATATTCACATTCTTTACACCATGTCTAATTTTATAAATTTCTATCATGGTACTACACTTGATCTTAGCCAGAAGGCTGAGAATCAATTTCTGTCATATCTCCCTCTAAATACTCTTTCCCCCCTAAGTTTAACACCTTCAAATCTTTCCTCAGACAGCTGCTTCTTCAGTCCCTTTAATGTTTGGGCCACCCCTTCTCTTTTAAAAGAACTGTAACCGTATAGTCCTCTTCAAACCAAAGCTACAATCTTGTCTTAAGATGGGCAGATGTTCTCCTTTTACTGGACATTATACAGGTCTTATGTTACTTCTGTTCTACAGAGGCAACATGCCTGGATTTGAGGATGTCTTAAAAAGTAATGCAAAAGGGGCACTAAAATCCACTACACCTATGACCTTTATGATAGGTGGTAAGCTGCATCTTCAGAATAAAATGACCACAGGGAAGCCATGTCAATGTTTCCTGAATCACACTGTCCAAAAAGGCAGAAGATGTATGTTACAGCAAATTATCAGTAATGAACAGCAAGGGACTGAAATAAAATGTTTGTATTTATTACAGCATGGGGGGGGGAGAGAAAGAGGAGAGGGTCTGGATGCATCCCTTTAAAAACCATCCGGAACCAATGAAGACAATAATTTAGCTATCACTTTAATACAACAAAACCTCCCAGTTATCTCTTTTTTTAAAAAAACCAAACCAAACAAAAACAGGGTGCTGCATTGATCATGGGGCAAATCTTGGTTTGGTCTGGGGACATAGTATTATTATATTCTTTAAATAGGGTTCTAACTGTGAGACTGACCATTTGCCCACCCTGCCATCATCTTTCTACAGAGGAAATACAGTTAAAATGGCTTAAAAAAGGAAAACATTTTTAATAATTAATTGTACTACCAAAAAAAAAAGCTTCTCAAATCACACAATTTGTGGTTGCTTTTTTTCCTTGTTTTCAGTCAGAATAAAAACAAGCCAATATTTCCCCAAAAGCCCAAAACAAAACAAAACGAAACGAAAAACATTTCATTAAGGGGTGCGGAAAAAAGACATCCCTTTAATAAAACATTATCAACAAATATCGTACACAAACTACAATGTATAATAATTACTTTTCTTTTCCCTCGCTTAATTTTAGAACCAGACTACAAGGTAAGAAAAAACACTGAAACAAGATACAATGTTCTCAAGAATCCGCACAAAGGTAGGTAAATCCAGGGGAAGATAATATTTTACATAATATGAAATACATAGATCAGAAGTGAATTTTTTTTCTTTTATATAAAACAAAGACCAGCTACAAGGGAGTGTAATGTACAGGAGATCCCAAGACTTGCGAGTTTCACTATACATGGTATGCTTTTCTGTAGTCACCTCTACCCTAAGAAGGTAAGGTTTAATTTTTTTTTGAATTTTGTTTTTAATTACAGAGTAGGAGGGAGGGAGGGAGAGAGAGCCTACAGAATAGCAAGTATACATTTTAACAACAATAATTACTTAAAAATATCTCCATCCAGTTCCAGAGCATATACAGTGAAACCCTAATAAGATCACATTGTTTCATTAAAAACCCCAAACAAAAACAAAAAAATGTTAAGAAGGTTTGCGCTCACAGTTTTCGAGTCCAGGTCAAGTTTTTAACGCCTTTTAAAAATTTATCATGGATTGACACCTCCCAAACTTTTTTTTAATTAAAAAAAGAACCCTAACCTTCCACACCCCACCCCAGGAATTTTGACATTTTAAAAATTTTGCAAAAAGGCCATTAAATAACATTTCTTTGTAATTTGAGGAAGGAGGACAGGGGAGGGAGCTAAAACAGTGCATGCCACAGTCACAGATATCAAGATCACAATTAAAATTTGGGAGGGGGGATGTGATCCTACAAGGGGACCAGCTGCATTACAACTTAGAATGAGGCAGAGAAAGTATTTTCCACTTGGATCTTCGGGCCGAAGAAAGTATTGTGCTGTAAAACACCAAACAGAAAGACCAACCAAACAAAAGGAAAGGTGGAGGGACAGGGAAAGTCCTTCTGAACAAAACCCACCAATTTATTTAAAAAAAAAACTGTCCAGTTTTATTAATTTTAATGGCTACAGAGACAACATGAGTTTTCATATCTAGACTAGCTTCCTTGCGTAGCACAGCACAAACATACAACAGGTTTAAAAGAATATTCGAGCAAAGGAGGTTGGGTTTGGGTTCTAGAGGCTTTTCGTTTGTTCCCCCCCCACAAAAAAATCAACAACAAAAAAAAGTGTCATGTACATAGAATAAATCCTTCTGCAGAAGAAGGATCTTGTCATGTCTTGAAATATTTTAAAGATTTGTCCTTCATTGTTTTATGGAATAAAAAGTTCAGCCTTTTTATTGCATGAAACTAAAAATTAGGGGTGGGTCCCCAGCTCTGTATGTCTCCCTGCCAAACACACCTAGCTTCTCTTCTTGCATAATTTCTTGAGATCCTCCAAATGGCAGCCGACTTTTTCTTTATCCTGGAGAAGAGGATGTGGGAGGTGAGGGAGGAGGGAAATCACACACTCATCGTCATGCTGGGAGAATACTGGGTGAGGAGAAAAAGGTGGGGCGGGGATGGCGGTGGGAAGAGAGAGAAACAGAATCACAGAGTAAGAACGAAGCAGTAACAAGACCAAAATGCTAAATGCTGCGGAAGCGGAGGAAATGGGATACAAAAGAGATGTGGGCTTATGAAAACGATAAAGCAACATAATTGGCTTCCATAAATCAGAGAGCTAGAATATGCTAGAAGACTAATTTATCGAGACATAATCATTCCCATTCCATTACCACTGTTCGCCAAGGATTGGGGAGGTGTGTGTGTGTGTGTGTCGGGGGGGGGCACCACTGTTCGCCAAGGACTGGGGAGGTGTGTGTGTGTGGGGGTGGGTGGGTTGGAATGTGAACACCCAAGAAATATGTAGCAGAACATGGTCTTAACATTTTAAACATTTTCACATGTTCACTTTGGGGATGGATTAGTTTGCTCCTTTTTTCTGGCAACCACATGATATACAGACAGTTTAGAACTAGCCCTTATATTCGCCTACCCACACCTTCTCGTGTCTCTGTCAAGGGCTACTCGGTGTGGGTGTGGGTGCATGATCACTCTGTTTTGGTTCCGTTCTGGCATGTGTGATCACTGGAAATAATCCAAAGTGAGCAGCTTAACTAGTTCAGTGGGAAGAGTGGGAAATAACCCCTTGAGCCCACATTGCAGGACCAAGCCACTTCTCAACAAACTGAAAGCTTCCTCATGCCCCCACCCCTGCAGGGGGATCAGAAAATCCTTTGTTCTTTTAAATCTTTTTCTCTCTCTTCTTCCTTTCCCTTTGAAGAGAGGAATGGACTAAATAGGGTTTTTCTCGAGGTATGGAGTGATTTCCTGGCCCCAAACCAGCTGATTCTTGCATGTGGATGAAAAGATCACCCCCAATGGCATAGTGCACATATTTAACCCCATCCAGCTCAATCCAATTGGGCTGTCCAGGGCCCTTACTACCAGCTGACCATATAAACACCACTGTCAGAATAAATTCTATTCAGATTAAACACATAGAGGAGATCTACTTCTTGGAGTGACTGAATCCTCTTGCATGAACCAATTAAAATCAAGTAGGTATGCTAGTTTCCCACTCCTTTCCTTGATTCTCATGTACATTTTGGCTATAAGTGCCTCAGGACAGTGACCTGTCTTTAGTTTATGCCGCTCTGTAAAATAAGAGGGCAGACTTCATGCTTGAAGCATGTACTTTATAGCTTACTGGCACCCTGAGATCCACAAGAAGCAGAAGATATACATCACATGTTGATTACGGAACAAAATCTTCCTAGCAGCTGCTGAACCTAGGGACTTGAGTCCTAGAGGAGAACTGAACTCACAGTCCTTACACCAGCCATTCACTGCTAATCACCACTGGCCTTCTTCATTACAATTAGTCTAATTTAGGGGAAGGGAAAAGAGTCATTTTGTTGTTACTAATATTGAAAAGAACAGGGAGTCAAGAAATCTTTGCCAATAGATCCAAATCTATCTACTGCTCATCCTGGCTGAAAATACTATGTACATGGGCACTGCAATAATGTGAATGAGAATATTGTCCTATATGCAAAGCATGTGTGTGGAAAACAGCAGAGAACCTACATGCACATTGTCAGAGGTAACAACCCCCCCTCTCTCCTCTGTCCCACTCCCACAAATACATTTTGTACAGATGCTGGGAAGCTATGCATACATTTATTTGCTGCTTGCCCTGTGTAATATTGTTTTTGAAATGGCAACAGCACTGCTTCTACTTTTTTTTCACTTGTTCAAAATGACTCATGGTTTCTTCTTCCATCATATTTCTTTGGAGCCAGTCATCCTCTTGAGGCTGAAATGTTATGTCACGTCATGATAGCCTAGCTGACTTGCTGTACTGTGGATCTTAGCCAGTTCACTCAGCTGCAAAATGCGCACTTCCTCTGTATGTGTTTTTCCCAGAGTGCACACTCCCACTTCACCCCTATTCTCAGCACGCAGGGACAATCTTTTCCCCAGAAAGGAGTCACAAAGCCTAAACAGGCTCTGTGATTCAAGCGCTGTTAGCAGAAAGAGCTGGTGTACGAATGACTCACGTTGTCATTTTGGAAGGAATGGAGGAAGTTGCCTCCCAGTTCACCATCATCTCGTGGAGTGCCTGGAGGATTGCTAATGCCACTTATGTTGTTTGGAGAATTCTGTGATTTAAGACAAAGAAAAAGATACAGACCACATAGATTCACACGCAAGAAGTGAGAAGGTGTTCTTCCACTGTGCTGTATGCTAACAACATTGACAAAAATTTCTGTTCCATCAAAAACATGGACAGTTCAGGAATAAAGCCTGAGTGTAGGAGAAAATTACTGTGCTTTACTATTAACTATCCCAAAGAGTTGAGGACAAAAATGCTCTGCCCACCCCCAGCACAACCAGTAGCCAGGAGTCTTCAGGACTTCTCTCTGTCTCCCATAGTCTGCCTGACATTTTACCCACTAAAGCAAGTAGAAAAAGCAGCAGCAACATTCAAGAAACCCAGAAATGGCTTGCAAAAATGCAGACTTACTTTTGGAAGTCCATCTATGTCTCCTGACCCTTGAGAAAGAAAAGTTTAAAAAGTAGGATGTTAGTCAAAACAATTACATTTCCTGGATTTCAATCAGAGGTGCTTCTCCCTTCTTAACAGGCCTCCTCATTCTGTACCAAAGTGTTTTAATTCCTGTACCATCGTGCAGAAATAAGAGGCTGCTACGCGAAGCCATAGCTAGGCCTTCCAGGAAGCAGCTGGCAGTACATTAGTGAGCGGCAGGTCACAGCTGGGCTAATGCAAACCTCTTAACATTTGCCTCCAGAAAGGGACATGCTGGGGAAGCCTCAGCTGCCATTCCTTTGCATGGAGAACTCCTGGGAGCAGAGCCCAGCTCACCTTCCTGCACAGCACTAGAGTAATGGCCTAATCGAGTTGCTACAGTCTCGGCTCCCTCCTGTGAGCTTCATGACACTGATCAAGATGGAGTACAGCACCTCCACTTCAGCAAGATGTACAAGGCATGCATAGGAGGTTAATGGGTCTTTCTGCTGCTTTAATTAAAACACACACACCACATTTAGGCTCATGCTGCTTCTTCCCCTTTAGCCATCAGGAGGAGTTCCGCAAGCCAGGGGTTAGGAGTGCCTGCTCCCTGGATATATTCTTTGATGTGCTGTGAGTATTTGAAATGGCAAGGTCAACCCAAGGGATTTGTACATTATGGACACAGAATATGACCCAAGCTTCTGGGAGCAAATGGGATTCACAGCACAAAATCAAACTAAACAAACAAACCCAAAACTACACACTGCTTAATAAACAATGCCCCGAGAGGTAGGATTGTCTGCTGCAGGATCTTGCAGCAGCTCAAGATGAAAGCGTTGCCGCTATAACAAAAGCTAGTTGAGTCCGGTGTCAATACCTGGCATCTCAGGGCTGCCGCTCAGGCCCGACTACCTGGTAAAACTAACTGGGGTGTCTATATTGAACCATGTTAAGAAAGAGGATGCCAGGGCACGGATCTTCACAGGAAGAAGTGAGGGTGCACCAAAGTGTGAGGAAGCCTGCCAGAGGTCCTCCACAGGAGGGCTACCTGAAGCTCAGAGCTAACTGAGGCTAGAGGACGTCTTGTTATCTCCAAATTTTGAATCACTAGAGAGCATTTGTTGCTAAAAGTAACAATGAAAGAATGTTCCCAAGCACAGTGTTTTTTAGCCACTAGCTCTCCAGGTATTTTGAACTGCAGTTCATAGAGCTGTCTACTATTGTCCAATGTTGGCTGAGGTTTCTAGGAATGGAAGTCCAAAAAATCTGGACTTCCAATGGTTGAGAACCACTGCCCTAATAAGATATTCTCCTTCCAGATCCTCCAAGGCACTTGGGAGTTTTGATCCAGTCCTTAATGACCTGCAACATATCTTAAACAACTGTTACGAAGACTGTGTGTTGTTGCCCTAATAAAAAAAGCTCCGTATTCCATGTTTATATAGAACAATGTAGTCTGCTAGATTACCAGCAAGGAAATTTTAACAGCTGTTTGTTATTGTTCATTCCATGTCATCTAGTCCCCAATTGGGCAACTTGAGTTACTTGTATTATCAGAGAATCTGTCGATCTCTGTTTACTTACCTAATGAGCCATTCATGTGATGGGGCTCCATCCCACCCATGCCTCCCATTGGGCCATCTGATCCTGGTCCCATTGGGAACTGAGAAATTAACAATAATACAGTAAGTTACGATACATCATCCGTGGTACAAAATATCAACATCTGATTGATTAGCTTGTATACTGACAGATATAAGCTCCAGGACTCAGATGACACAAATGCTTTGTAAACAAAGGGTTTACAGCCTTCAAGAGGGAACAGCAGTCTGTACAGAAAATCCATCATTCTCCACTCAATACATGCCATCTAAATCAAAATGTGGCAGAACATCCTCTCTATTGAGATACTGGGGTTTAGCAGCACCCCTACGGGCAGCCTCAGTCCTGAGAAGAAATGGTACCAAACGCTGCCCAGTCCAATATAAAGAAAATACTGTAGCTAAACTGTGCAGTTACTACCAAGTTAATTATGTGGCATTTATGTTTCCAATGCTGTGTGAAGTCATATATCCAACGATGACATACATACTCTACATTATTTTATATCCTCCAATGTACAGTATTTTTCAACTCTGCTAGCACCTGGAATAATATCCCACTATCACCTGTACTTGTGGTGTGCACAGTTCTACTGGCTACATTTGGGTATCCCCAGCCTAATGGATGTTAAGCTAGGGACTGAGAAACCTCAGAACTAAAGAGTCCACATTCTGCTAGTATTACAAATCCCGACTTCTGAAATCCCGTCTGCTTCAACTGCTACCGGACACACTCATTATCTCTATGTCTTCTGCTGCTTCTCTATGTATTTTTCTCCCAAGGTTCCTTGATGGTCTTCCATCAAATACTGGCCAGGATCAGATTTTTCAGCTTTGCTTACTCTCCTGCAAAAGCATTTCCCAGCCAATTTTCTGGGCTCCCTTTTTGTTTTCTACAGCCATATGTCTATAGCTCCTGTTACCTTCCGCATCAACAGATTCAATTCCATGAGATACAGATCTTTGCTTCTACCACCAACCCTGTTTTGGGTGATGGTGTCTGCTTTATTAATGGAAGTAGTGGTGCTCACTATGGCTCAGCCTGAAGATATTGTCATTGCAATCCACTGAACAACAAATCTTGATGGTGATGTTCAGCTCTCTTGTATTTTTATGGCAAAGCAGCTGCTACAGTATTCTGTTATCCTCCTGACAAAACAGGCACAAGTAAATGCTGAAGCCACTGGTTGGGCTACCTGGGCATCTGCTGAGATTCCCCTTTCCTCCTGCAGGGGGCATCTTGTCAACTGCCATAGCCTTCTGACCCTGCTGCTATTATTACAGTGGTGCCTCGCTAGACAGCTACAGTACTCTGTTATCCTCCTGACAAAACAGGCACAAGTAAATGCTGAAGCCACTGGTTGGGCTACCTGGGCATCTGCTGAGATTCCTATGGCCAATCCCCGCTAGACAACAACGATTCTTCCCCATTGGAATGCATTAAACAGGTTTAAATGCATTCCAATGGGGAAATGCTTTTCGCTAGACAATGATTTCGCTAAACAGCGATTTCAGTGGAACGGATTATCATCATCTAGCGAGGCACCACTGTATTTTAAAAGCAGAGCTCGTATGCCTCTCCTCTCTAAGCAAGGCACAAGCAACAAGAACAAGAGATGGAACAACAACATCCTGTGCTCACCTCACCCTCTGCTGCTGGGCAAAGACATTCCGGCCTAAGTGGTCCTTAAAACCTGAAACTGAACTATTCCAAATAGGTAACCATAGATGCTTCCCAAAGTCTGGCAGAGAATCTTCTGAAAAGCCTCTTGTAATTAGTTCCAATTAATGATGCAAGTAGGACCAGGGTTTAAGCTGTGTCCCCTTTAATACAACCGTTACCCAGCAGTGCATGTGACACAGTCTTGACCAGAGCCACATGAACGCTGCTGTTTTAATAAGCGTAAAAAATTAACAAAGTTGCTGAAGAGTTAATCACTTTTTGATGGTTTGTTTTATTTCTGTTTTGTAACAAATGGCTGAAATCAATTAAACTGCTTTACCCTCAACTGATGAAGTTAATTATGATTTGTTATGGTATCTGATATGTAAATTATTAGAAAGCAGACTTACATTCGACCGACTGCCTCCAGGCGGTACGGGATTAATCATTGTGTAGATGTTGTCACTTGAATTTGTCGAATCTGTAGAACAGTGAAACCCACTAAGTCAGGGTGATTAATTCATTTCTTAATTAAAACAAACTCATGCCACTTGAACTCATTCTTTTGTATTTTATCACCTAAAATTCTCTCTAAGTACCACCATTTTCTGGCTAATTTGTATTTAATGAAGATTCACAAAGTTTTTAATCACAGAAATTCAACTGTGAAAAGAATTCTGCAGCTAACGGAGAATAGTGGAGCTTTCTTGCCAGGAGAGATGTAGAAAGATAATTTCTTAACACGTGTCACTTCACACCTCAAAATTAGCCAACGCAATTAGCTTACTACAGGATCTTATGTTTCTTTAACCGAAAGAACTTCCACAGATTATATTTAGCCATTTTATTTTTTTGAAAAAGCAAGAACCTAGATTATTTTTCCCCTTTTTGCTCACCGCAGTGTGAGGTGCACAGTCCTTGCATCAAGCTGCAGAACATAAACATATGCCTAATTTATAAGCTGGACACATTGACAGATTTTTTTTTTTTAAAAAAGGGGGGGAAGACCTGTGCCTATATTACCATATGGATTGTTTTACTATGACCTAGTCTGAAATGTAGGTCAGAGTTCTCATAAAAATGCAGGAGCAGAAAGGCAGTGGTAATATTACACGGTAGCTCCACCCCTGCAGCTGTGGTACACCATGGTTACATGCAGCATGGCTAACTCCCCAGAGCCTCTCCCCATCCTTTTTTTCTTACCACTGACACATACAATGTGTAGTAAATCACCCCTGCAGGCCTGTCAGGAAAATTCACCAGCCACAACACTGATGCTCTCCTCCCCCACGTTCTCCCCTTGTACTATGAGAGAAAGAGATGGGGGAAGGGGATTTTTATACGTCCTCATGGGGTGGGGTGAGGAAGGGGAGAATGCTCACCTCAATGAGCACTGTTTCACAAAGTGGTGTTGAGAAACCACCCTCCACATGTATATTACAAATCAAGCCAGATGGTGGCTAAATTGCCCAGGATGACAAAAATGGCATTCTATGTTTTCTGGCTCAAAATTGGTCAACTGAGAGGGTTTAAAGAGAAGCAAGCCTGGGATAAGTTGGACATGGTGTGTTTGATGGGGTTGTGATTTTTCTAGGGAACTTTTTCCCCCCTTTTTCTTAAAAAAAAAGACAGAGAGCTGCAAATGTCTATAAATTTCAAAGACAAACAATGCAATTTTTGTCTACTAACATAAAAATAGGGCTTAATCTTTTAAAGTATAACTATTTCATCAAGGAATGAACAGCACAGTTCACATTACTTGATAAGAGGTTGAAGGCTGAAATAAGATGCAAACTGCCTCCAACCAATCCAGTAAGGCAAACTGCATGGATGAATCCTCCTCTAAACCCATTTTACAGAATATAGCATGCGAAAGACTGGACTGGAGGAATCCCAAGCCGGAACTAAGATTGCTGGAAGAAATGTCAACAACCTCCGATATGCAGATGATACCACTCTGATGGCAGAAAGTGAGGAGGAATTAAAGAACCTCTTAATGAGGGTGAAAGAGGAGAGCTCCAAAAATGGTCTGAAGTTGAACATCAAAAAAATTAAGATTATGGCCACTGGTCCCATCACCTTCTGGCAAATGGAAGGGAAATATATGGAGGCAGTGACAGATTTGACTTTCTTGGGTTCCATGATCACTGCAGATGGTGACAGCAGCCACAAAATTAAAAGACGCCTGTTTCTTCAGAGGAAAGCGATGATAAACCTCGACAGCATCTTAAAAAGCAGAGACATCACCTTGCCGACAAAGGTCCGCATAGTCAAAGCTATGGTTTTTCCAGTAGCAATGTATGGAAGTCAGAGCTGGACCATAAAGAAGGATGACCACCGAAGAATTGATGCTTTTGAAGTGTGGTGCTGGAGGAGACTCTTGAGAGTCTCCTGGACTGCAAGGAGAACAAACCTATCCATTTTAAAGGAAATCAACCCAGAGTGCTCACTGGAAGGACAGATCCTGAAGCTGAAGCTCCAATATTTTGGCCATCTCATGAAAAGAGAAGACTCCCTGGAAAAGACTCAGATGTTGGGAAAGGGTGAAGGCAAGAGAAGAGGACGACAGAGGACAAGATGGTTGGACAGGGTCACCGAAGCTACCAACATGAATTTGACCAAACTCCTGGAAGAAGTGAAAACAGGAGGGCCTGGCGTGCTATGGTTCATGGGGTCACGAAGAGTTGGACACGACTTAACAACAAAATTGGGAAGTTCCCCCCATTCTTTAAAAGCCCCACAGAATTCAAACCATCAGCACAGGGGTGGAAATGACCGAAAAGCAGGCTGAAAACAACATTTATTTCAAAAGAGTGAGTTTGGCTATGGACTGTGTGCCATCTCTTTGAAAGAAAACAGCTTACCAGCAGTAAGCAATGTTTTATTCTGCTACTGAAATAAAATAAAAAAACAAAACAAACAATAACAACAACACACACCCATTCCCGGACTCTCCATTTAAAAAGGAGAAGAAAGTTAATGCTGCCTTTTTATCCCTCACTTACCTGCAGGGCTAGGCATGATGGGTGTTCCAGGAGGACCTCCGCCACCAGGGGGCCCCTGTTGACAAGATTAAATACACATCAGGAGCCACTGTGATAACATAACCTGCAATAGGTCAGCCAGATCCTGCTGCTGTCAGCAACAATGTCTCACCTTGGTATTCAGCCAAGCATTAATCTCCTGCTAAAACCTTTGATGCACTCTTGTAGCCAAAGTGCAATTTCTTTGTTTAAGCCTCAGGAAAAATGAAGGTTTTACTGAGAGGGAGTGGGGGGGCATCTGTGTGAGATGCACAGCCCAAGTCTATCTGCCAGGATAGTAATGGGCCATTCTTTCTATAACCTTCATATCTGCCAAAGCTGCAAACAGAAATGCTCTACTTAAATGTGTTAATGTGCTGATTATATTCCAGACCCTCTAGAATAAGAACACACAGCACTCTCCAATTCATTGGCTGCATTTATGAATATAGTTACCTCTCCAAAGTTCAGAGCATGTTTTCAAGATCGCTTAAAACACAGCACCATAAACTGTTACCATCACTGCATCATTCACACGAAATAAAAGCCGGGCTTCCTTCCTACACCACCACGAACACACTAATCTTATCTGACTTTGGAACCCACCTAAAGCAGGGTCAAATCCAGCTACTGCCTGCATGGGAGGCCATCATGGAATATGACAGATCTCCAGATAAAGCTACAAAACGGTCCTACCTGAAACCCCAGAGAGCTACTGCTGCCAGTCTCAGTTGATAATATTGGACTAGAAGGAACAAGGGTCTGACAAGGCAGCTTCTTATGTTTCTAATTACATATGTGGTTCAGGCATTGCAAGAATTCTTGCCTTAGCCTAGAAACAGATGACATGGAAGAATCCTACACTGCGACCACTTGCGTTCTGAGCACAACCTACAATCCATAATTGAACATGCAAATACCACAATATCTAATCATTCCACATACTGGCACATTATGGTAATAAAAAAGGTATGAACTTACCACATATGTACCAGGTGATGAAGAGGAGTATGGAATCTGTAAGTAGATCAGAGTGGAGGTATCATTTTGTGAAAGATACGTGTTTCATGGGGGAAGGAGAGACCCTTCAGGTAACAACCACTCTGCTCAAGAGCTTACAAAACTAAATTCCCAGTTGCAGAAAGTTTGTTACCTGTTATCTGGGAGACTGAGGCAACATATATACACCCATATATTGCATCTGCCAGATATACTGTTTTAGGAGAAAAAGTAAAGTAAAACATTCAAGTGATCAGTAGTAAAGGCATTCTAAAATCTGACACTTACTGAGTTAGCGCTGTTGGGATTGGGCCATGGTCTACCGGCTCCTGGACCCCTAGAGTTTGGGAGAAAACACATCTTTAGCATGATCAAACAGAAGTGTAGAACCAAATGTAACTGCTGAGTAAAAATGTATTTATTCCTGGAATTTGAATCCAGAAAACATCAGACAAAAGCAAACAGCATGGAAGGTTCCTTACATGTTAATCCCAGGCATGCCAGGCCCTAGAGAGTTGGGTGGAGGTCTCATTCCGCCGCCATAGTTCTGCAATGATAACCAAGGATCAGTCTACCATAACGAGAAGGGAAACCGGAGAAGAAAAGAGAAAGGAAAAAAAACAAACAAAAACGAGAGGGTTAGTTTGTGAAAATGAACTTTAATTAAAAAAAAAGATGATGATAATGAACACACAGGCAAAACTAGCAACTTCAAAAAAGTAAAACAGGGTGGTGAAATCTTTCAGCTTGCTCTTTGATAGTAAAAGGTGGGTGTGGGAATCTTAGATGCCACCAACTTTCTGTATCATGGTAAAAATATACTAGAAATGCCCAAACAGGCATTCTTATACTGGCCAATGTATACCAGTAAGTGAGTAACCATACCTGGAGAGTATATAAGATAGTTACCTCAAAAAATAATATATATATAAAAAATGAACAAACAAACAAAAAATAGTTTTCTACTGCTATATGTAAGTAAAGAAGGAATAGAAATTAAATAATTAGTTACTTGTGGGGAGTGGGGCTGCAAGGGAAGAAGCAGAAAAAAACTAGGTGGGGAAGAAGGAGATGGGGAGAAGAGAGAGAACTGTTTGAAGGAAAACAGGGCAATGGAAAAGTGACAAGGTGCACAGAAGAAGGGACAGCAATAGCACAAAGGTTTGCATCAGCCTTCTAAAGAAAGAGTATCTCGTACTTTCAGACATCTCTCTTGAACAAAACAAAACAACAATATCGGTCTAGAATTTCAGAAAATGCATTTTTAAAGACACATATGACAGAGAAACAACAATTCCAAAAACAACAGCAATATTGCTTTGTCACTAACTTGATGATCAATATAAATCAAAGTTATAGCAGCCCCATATCTAGTTATCCCCCCCCCAACAACAACAACAAAATTGATTCAGGATAGTATTTATATTACAATTCCAGGTCTCAACTGGTTCTTTAAAAAGAGGTCCACTATTAAACTGCACAAAAGCAAAAACAAAAGCTTCTGTTTTGATACAAATTGGTTCTTCCTTGAAAACATGGTGAATAATGGTTATAAATAGTTCAAATGCTGTTTTATAAACTAGGCTTTTGACCATGATCAAATAAGTATCCTTGCATAAAGAGAATACCATTGTCATTTTGTACCAAACAGCTCTCAGCTCTTTGCATGGGGCACGTCACTCATACAGCTATCCTCTCTGAAGGCAACCACAGCTGCATGTATGGAGTAAATAAAGTCCATGCCCACGGAGGTAAATAGCCTGCTTGGCTGAATGCTAAACATCTTTTATTTTTATGTATTTATTTTATTGCATTTCTACCCTGCCCAAAGGTCTACTGTGGGCGGCATTACAAATTTAAAAACAGTTAAACCAATAAACATGCACTATAAATCCAAGATGGTAAGGTGTGAATTTTAGATACAGAAGGAGGGAAAGCCTGCCCAAATAGCCAGGTCTTGAGTTTGCTTCTGAAGACACCCAGAGAGGGAGCCAGGCAGATCTCCACAGGCAAGTTGTTCCAGAGGCGAGGGGCCACTGCAGAGAAGGCCCAGTTCCTTGTTCTTTCCTTCTGGACCTCCCTCGGTGTTAGGTCCCTCAGCTGCCCGGCCTGGCTGGAACGAGTGAGTCTGGAAGAAGGCGCTCTGCCAGATATCGAGATCCTAAGCTGTTTAGGCCTTTATATGGAATCGCAAGAACTTTGAAATCAATATGGAAACGGATGGGCAGCCAATGCAAGGCGGCCAGCGTGGGGGAAATATGTTGGTACTTTTTTACCCATGTAACAAGTCTGGCCGCCGCATTTTGTACCATCTGAGGTTTCTGCATCAGTCTCAAAGGCAGCCCCGTGTAGAGCACATTACAGTAGTCTAATCTTGAGACTACGAGCGCATGGACCAACATAGTGAGTGCCCCCACATCAAGGTAGGGATGCAGCTGGGCAATCCACCGAAGGTGGAAATGTGCAGAACAGATCACTGACGACACCTGGGTCTCCATGATGAGCGCCGGGTCCAGATGTACACCCAAGCTGCGAACCTCACTCTTGGTGGTAAGAGTCATCCCCACAAAGGAAAGGAAGTTTCCCAGACCACTGATGTCCTGGGGCACCAACACAAAGGACCTCCATCTTGCCCGGATTCAGCCTCAGTCCATTCACCTGCATCCATCTTGAACGGACGCCATCTCTTTTTAACAGTCGCCAAAAAACTCAACTGACTGTTTATCTCAGATAATAAGTGGAGCCACTCTTTCTTCAGTGGTCCATTATAAAACATTTCAATTCTATATCTTACTGGCTAGGAACAGAGATTGACATCAATGGCTCCCAATCCTGAGTCCTCAGATATTCTTGGACTAAAACTCCCAGAAGCCTTCACCACTAGGTGTGCTGGCTAGGATTACTGAGAGCTGTACTCCAAGAACCTCTGGGGACCCACAGTTGGGAACTACTGATCTACGTCATTTGGAAGAAGCAGCAATGCCAAAAAAGCAAAAGCATTTTCTTCTAACTCTTTACCCCTAACACAGGAAACAAGAGATAGGTCACTGAGAAGGGTAGTACATACGGAAGAACCATCTCACAATATGAAATTATTATTGCAAGTATGCGACTTAACAGAGATGGTGAGCACCTGGTTTGTCGCAGATGTACAGCACATTCAGAACTTTTGAGGCATTCTTTATTTAGCTGACACAACTGTAACAGATGCAAGCTGTTGTAATGATAATGCATGGGATATTAACAGCTTTGTACCCATTATGAACAGTTACCAGACCATTAAAAAAAAATATAACAGTTACCGGAACCTAAGCTTGCCTGGAACAATTATGATGCACACAACTTCTTTTGTTTCCTAGAGGTGTATGGCTTCAAATGGGGTTTCTAATGGACACATTTTTACTTAGCACCAGAATCAAGAAGTTCAAGGACTCTTCAAATGCTTGAAAGATTGTGATAAAGAGAAGGGGCAGGAATGATCTGTTCTCAGTCATCCAAGAGTGCAGGGCACATTATAATGGGCTCAAATTATAGGAAACCAGATTTCGATTGAATATCAGGAAAAACTTCACAACTGTAAGAGAAGTACAACAATGGAACCAGTCACCTCAAGAGCAGGTGAGCGCTCCAATGCTAGAGGCATTCAAGAGAAAATTAGGCAACCATCTATCATATACACTTTGATTTGGATTCCTGCATTGAGCAGGAGGTTGGACTTGATGCTTGTACAGGATCTTTCCAATTCCACTATTCTACTATTCTATAAATTATTATTTTTTTCACATGGCAGACTCCCTGCTGTATTGCTATAATCAGAACAAACTAAAACTTTTAAGGTGATGCAGAAGACTTAAGTGTGGTCTCAGGGTGTACCCATCTCCATTACTATCTTAGAAACAATGCATTTATAGAGTAGACAAGCTTTTAGAGGACTGCTGTTCATAACATCAAATTACAGGTAACTTGCTATGTAAACTACTCACTTTGCCAATAGCTCAGTGTGTTCCTGTACTTGCCTACACTGCCTGCCCAGCAACTGTCAGCAGACTGACCACTTGCCCATCCTTATAGTTGCTGAATCTAAGTTTAATCTGATAGCACCAGCTCAGCCAAGAATAAGATCTGACTTTATCACAGACAACAACCTAGGAAGTATTTTAGTCTGTTTCAATTCAACTACCCAAATCTGTGCTTAGTCCTCTAGAATGTGACTCCAAGGACTCTCACTCATAGTGATGATGGGTAAAGAGTTGCCTCCTGGTTATCTACTCCAGTGTATATATGCAATTATGAGGGGAAGATCTTTGGTATTAATTCATGTGCTGATGACAATTTTAGCACAACAAGGCAAGGACAGCTATTTCAATTTGTCAGCTTTCAGGAAACAGCAATGATAAGAAAAGCAGGATTGCAAGGGAGGGTCCATGGAGAAGTGTCAAGCCTCTGAAAAAAGAGATTAGCATTCCTCAATACTATCACTCAACAGTACAACAAACCGATGAACATCCTCCATTTCAATCACCTGATACAACCAAGGAAAATATGAGTGGGTGAAAGGCCAGAGGAGATTCTGTACTTCTCTTTATCAAAAGACCCACACCTTTCCTTGTTGGTTTACTGTACAATTTTGTGAAATGTTGGCCTTTCTCCAACCAGTGCCCTCAGACTACAACTAACTAACACAACTGTAATTTTTACTAAGACATCGGGAAGATGTTGAGGAATGGTGGCTCAGAAAACCAGTCCCAACAAAATGGTAGATCCACAAATAGTCATATGAGAACATTTAACAAGGTATCTACAACTGAGGACTCTTCAGGGATCCTACAAATCGTCATGTTTTTGAGTCTTTTTTAAAACACTGAATCACAATTGTATAAAGCAAGGATGGGCAATGACTGACTCATGGCATGACTCTGAGAAATACAAGTACGGCTTCAGTCCTCCCACCACTCCTTTTCTCCTGTATTAATCCTGTAAGATGTAGAATAAAGCACAGAAGTCAGAAAGAGCCTCTGTTGTGCAGCCAGGGAAAAGCCTTTAATGAGCCACTGAATGGTTGTGTGCCCGTGGCACAAAGAATGAGGGGGCATGAACTAAGCATGGAATAAAAGTAACGTGGATAGCATCCAATTTAATTACTAAAATTATTTACTGAAACGTATACATTGTCTGAACCTGCATTCCCCCGCCCGCCGCCGCCCCAATATTCTGCATAAAGTTTGTCACCTCGAGCCAGCAGATTCTTTCCTGACAAGATCACAATTACAGGGAAGTCTGGTCATTTGAGCTGAAGAGCTAAGATGAAAGATGTTGGGCATGTGGGCAGATGAAGGACGTGATATAAGAATGTTCACTTTTGAAGCCATAAGTAGATTTTGGAAGGTGGGATTTTTCCAGACACATGTAAACACACTAATGTAAAATGCATTACCACTAATGGAGGAGAGAAGAGGGGTTTGGGAGAAATGGAAGTGCTCCTGGCTCTTCAAGCCCCTGGAGGCTGCTTTTATGATGTTTTGCTTGCTAACTTCATAGAGCAGCAAAGCTATTACTTGGCACTGGACAGGGAAAGAAATGCTCTGCCCAGGTTTTACCTGTGGACCCGGGCCCATGGGTCCCATTCCTCGTGGAGGATTCATCCTTTGCATTGGTCCTCCCATGTTGGGATGCCCTAGTGAGAGAAGAGAAAGAAATGTGTTGTATTAATCCAGAAGAGTAATACTGTACACCTGATGAGAGGAAGGCCAAACCAGGGGAACCTCTGCAACAACCCTGAACAATATTTACCTTGTTGTCGTGTGGGGTCCATTGAGTTGGGCAGCAAGGGCTGTGTACCAGGAACACCCCCTGGAGGCTAGGAAAAAAGGAGATATATTTGGGGAAATGAAATATTCAGAAATGCACAGAAAGAGCCCAGTTGTCACTTTCCCATACTTGCTGCAATCATTACAATAATAAAAAAAGAGAGAATAGTGGACAGAACGCCATTGCTGTTCAACGGTGGCAGAGTTATATTCAAAAGTATTAGATTGCCGTGGCATTTATTCATTACATTTATTAAAAGCCTCATAAAATACACTGTTTAGAAAACGTACATTTATTTTATTTTATTTCATTTATATATACTACCTTTCTCCCGATTAAGGGATACAAGGCAGCTCTCAAGTTATTAAAAAGCACACGGAGTAAAACCACAATCACTACACTGAAAATCAAACACGTAGCAATATTGAAACAATTTGTTCAAAGTGTTAAAACTCCTTAAAAACACACATGAAATAAAATTAGTTCCCAGCACAGAATCACCAACTGCCCAATTAGTTAAAAGCCTGTCTGGACAAGAGTGTCTTCCCCTGTCATTGGAAGGACAAAGGGGAGGGGGGGCCCCCCAACCTAGCTTCCTGAGGGAGGGCATCTCACCACCTGGGATCAGCCACAGAAAGGGCTCTACATTCCCACCAGACATGCTTGTCAAGGGGATGGGACTGAGAGAAGATCTGAAGAGCTCTCATACAGAGAGACATGGTCCATCAGAAAGCCTAGATCCAAACTGAATAGGTTATTACCACCACTTTGAATTGGGCCTGGAAACAGACCAGCAGCCAGGGAAGCTATTGTAACAGGGGGAATAGAGACTTCAGCTGCGGCATTTGGAACCAGCTGATGTTTCTGAGTCTGTATCCAGGGGCAGCTCTACACAGAGCGTATTGCAGTAACCCAAGTGGGATGTAACTAATCCACAGATCACTGTAGCCGAATTAGGCATCTCCTGGATGGAGGCGTAGCTGGCATATCAGCTCTAGCTGTGCAAATGAACTTCTGGCTACCACAGAGACCAGAGCATGCAGGCTCAGGGATGCGTCCAGGAGAAGAACACGATCATGTGCCATGTAAGGCTCTCCAGGGTAGGACTCGGTGGTGGAAGAATGGTATTCAGGCTTTCTCTGCCTTTTGATTCTTCCCTAGAAATTCACCCTTCCCCCACCCTGGCTATTCTAAGCCCAGTTTACTTCAAGGCAATAGAACAAGTACTTGGGAAGGGGATGATTCCCACTGGGGAAGGGGGTGATTTAAAAAAGGGAGACGAGTAGACGTGGTCTAGAGGGGCGGGGTAAAAATCCAATAAATAAATAAAATAAATAAAATGAATTGTAAGGGACAACCAGCATGTAAAGCAGCTGATCCTCTTCTTCTTCCCATGTATTAATTTTTATTTCAGAAAAAGGAACCACTGGTGAACAGAACCTCCCCTTCATTAGGATTCAGCTACAGGTTTGCTTATTTTTGTCTCCATACAACTAATTACCATATTTTGACAGTGGTCAAGCACCTGCACATCCTCACTTAGTGAGGGTGGTAAAGACAGGCAGAAGAAACGAGGTGTCCTCACAGCCTATGGATGGCACCCAACCGCAAAGCTCCTGATAATCTCACTAAAGGTATCATACCAGTTGCTGAGAGCTGGTGGAATATAAAGTCCTGACAGTATAGCACTAGGGGATCTCCCAGTTCTGCAAGGTTGCCTCTAGGTATGAAGAGATCCTCCATTAGAAATAGCCAAGTTGTACTTGTGCAAGGATGCCCTGCATACTTCCTTGTGTAAGCTGTGCAAAACATTCACACTATGATCACTGCATGAGTGGTAGGATAGAAGGGCCACAGTTGTCCAGCCCTGCTGTGAAGTCACAGTAAAACAGCTGAGCGAGTTTTGTCACCTATTTGACTACACTTTGATGTAAGATATTCTTACTTTGATTGCTATTTTTCTTTCTTGTGTTGTTGTTACTTAATTATAATCAACTGTGCACTCCAAGAACCACTGATGCTCCAAAGATCAGTGAAAAGTGTCAGAAAAATTGTTCCATTTGAGTTTATTTTTTTTTAACGATTCTCCCATAAGAAATTGAAAATATTGGAAGGGCAGAAATTGAAAACATGAAGTCATACTTGCTACAGAAACACCTGTGCTGAAGAGAAGTACATTACAGATGGGAGGCCATAGGCTACACAGACATCGTGGCCAAGGCACTTTGGACCAGCTGAAGTTTCTGGGTTTTTAGAAGGAATGCCACAATGTAAAGCAACAGGCATAAAATGGTGAAGCACCACAGGTACTGTATTACTGATGGAATACCAATGATGTCTGAAGAGCATAATTAGATATTCATACTACAAAGACCTCTGCGATCTGTTTCCACTCATTCATGTCTCACAACTGGCTTTGAAGACTACCAGTCTTTTAAAATCCTGTTATAGGATGCATAATTTGGGTATTTAGCTACATTCCAACCCTCAGACACTACTTGGATCCTAGTCTAAAATAGTCAACAATATTCACGGGAAGAAAGTTTCCCAAAGTTGTCTCTCCCTTCCAACTACTTGTGCTCCATAACAACCCCTCTCCAGAGAATCAGCGGGCCTTCCTGAGACAGGTGGCACTTCCACATTATTCAGGACAATTCTGTTCTACCCTCACCATTTATTGTTCCTGATCTCATGGGGACTGGGGTGGGGGCAGGTGGCTTCCCTAAAATAACATTTCTTCCCATGAACCTCTGAAAATCTGGGCCACTGTTACAAATTGTTTTAATATGCTGTATAGGCATGGGACTATATAGCAGAAATTTTTGCTCTTGCTAAACAAGGAGATTTGGAGTTTTGCATAAGGTCTGACTACAGCAGCACTGCAACATATTACAGTATTAAGATAAAACACATTAAGATTCAATAAGAAACACAAACAAAACAAAAGCAAAAAAATAAACAACAACCTCAAAGCACTGTGGCACCTTAAAGACTGCTATATTTTAATATAAACTTTTGAGGAACATTGTCTACTTCTTCAGACAGGTGTGTTAGAGTACGGAATTTATTAAAACTGCTGCCTTACTGATATTGGTGTAAAAAAATGAGGATGTGTTAAGTGATACATGGTTGTTTGCCTTGCTGAGGGTCTCTGGCAAAGAATGTTTTGAAGAACCACAAAAAATGTGCACATACTGTTTGGTTGGAGCACCAAAGCAGGGCAGAAAATATGTGTACTACTGGCAACAGTTGCTTTATTACTTTCCTAATTCATCTATCATTATTCTATGTTTCTTTTAAAAAAAGCTACTAGCTGCACACAGCCTGATTTAAATCTATAAAGATCTGAACAGCTTGGGTCCAAGCTATCTAAAAGACCACATCTCCCTCTATGAGCCTGTGTGGTTGAAGTAAGATAATCAGGGAAGACCTTTCTCTTGGTTCCACCACCCTCTGGTGGGGACACAGGAGAGGGCCTTCTCTGTTGCTGCTCTCAGACTCTGGAACTGCCTCCCATTGGTTTGCTGTCCTTCTGCAAGCAAAGACCTTTCTCTTCAGAAAGGCTTTTCCTTAGTAACTGGCAACCTGAGAGGACTTTTTAAAATGGATTGTTGGGCTCTGTTGTTTTTAAGTGTGTTTCTAGTATTGATTTTATTGACCATTTAAAATATAGTACTACTTGTTTAATTCTTTTAAATACTTGTATACTCACTGGTTTAGCTTTTAAATATTGTATTGTCTTTTAATTGTTGTAAGCCGTATTGGGCCTTTCTAAGGAGAAAGGCTGGGTGAAAATATTTTCAATAAATAAATAATCAAATTAATAAAAACACACATGGGCAATCATAGTTGCCCATTCCTGACTTTGGATCTTCAGAGGCTGCAGCATTGCTGATGCTGGACAGATGTAGATTTAATCAGCCCTGGAACATAAAACTAGTGGGACTACATGTAATGACAAAATGTAACACACATATTTATTCAAAGAGTGGAATGCACAGATTTGTGGAATGGTTGTGTTTCATGGTAATCTCTTCCAGATTTTTGTTTACAAGACTGACATCTCTACAATTCACACCAACATTAAAATAAAAATAGATCTCAAAATCATGTGGTGCAAAAAGATGTCATCAATCTTCTAGACTTTTGGGTCCTCTAAGATAGCGGTCCCCAACCTTTTTGGGACCAGAGACCGGTGAGCCTCTGAGGAAGGTGGGGGCACCCCCACACTCATGCATGGCCTCTTGGGCACATGCGTGTGCGCTCTTGGGTGTATGCGCGAAGTGGTGGGGCAGCGTGTGCGCATGTGCCAGTGCTGGTGTGAGCGTTCCCCCACCCCTTCACGCATGTGCAGGAGTGCCTGCACGCCCTTGCGCGTGCCTGCCTACCCCTTCGAGCAGGCACATGCGTGAAGGGGTGGGGGAGCATTCATGCCGGCGCCAGCACGCGTGTATGTGTACAAAGCAGCTGTGGGAAAGGGAGTGTGTGCGGGGACTCCCGGAGGTCGGTGTCCATGGCCCGGTCCAGCTCAGGCCACGGACCGGCACCATGCTAAGATATATATACTGTTTTGGACAAAAAGAAAAAGAAAGAAAGAATGAAAATTGCTCCTAGCCATCTGTTAGACCTCAATAAACATGAGCTCAAGATTCACTTCTCTTTTAGATTAGAGAAAATTCAAACCTGACTGATTAGCTTGTACCCACCACTGTGGATGTTTCATATAATAAAGTTAGCAGATAATACTATTGTAGTAATGACTTGTCACCTTGACAACTGTAGTCCCCTATCAACCCAACCTGATAACTGCAAGTCCCATTTTTCTATCCTGGTTTGATTTGAGAAGGCTCTGCTCTAGATAAGCAATTAATCGTAGGCCATACTTGGAGCCAAACTATTATGAACAATGTTCAAATATTACAAAAGACAGCATTACAAAGTATCTTTTTATTATTTCAGAAATTACTCCAGCATAAGCTATCTCTCACTGCAGTGCTTGGTAGACTGACTTCCCTTGAAGTTTAGGAATGTGTGAAACTGGGTAATGGGACTAGTAATATAGCAAATCTCTGTCTAGTTCTCAACTCCTTCTTGCTCACTGACTTAGACTTTCCAGAAAATCAATTTATTGTGCAATAATGTGCAGCTATCCATGTGTTGAACAAGGCCCTTCAGTTAGTGCTTCTATCTCACTATCCGACACATCAGGTGGCAACATTTTATTAAACGGAAAATGGGACACTGGCTGCTCTTTTGATCCAGACTAGTTGTCAGTTTTCAAATACAGTGATGCCTCGCAAGACAAAAATAATTCATTCCGCGAGTCGTTTTGTATTGCGAAAATTTCGTCTTGCAAAGTGCGGTTTCCCATAGGAATGCACTGAAATTTAATTAATGTGTTCCTATTCGTCTTGAAAAGCACAGCCATAGAAAAATTTGTTTTGTGAGTCACCAAAAAAAATCACAAAACACTTTCGTCTTGCAAGTTTTTCATTGCACAAGGCATTTGTCTTGCGAGGCATCATTGTACTGGGTTCATAACAGTACATCACTATTCAAAATGACAAAGGTGCTCATTGGATCATTGCATGTCATTTCAACTAGTGATGAACACCTTATTTTATTTTCTAATGGCAAGAATTAGCCTGCTGCTAAAAAAAATTCTCAAGTAGCCCTTCCATTTTTAAGACATTCTGAAAACTAGAGAAGTTCACTCCAAAACCATAACAGCAGCAGTGCTATTCTGAAAAGAACTGTTTTTTTAAAAAGTCTGGTGAGTTCTTTACACTGAATGCTCTACTGTGTTTTCCACTCAAATCAGAGTAGACACAATGAAGAAAACAGGAATCATTTACTCCATGCTGCACAGACAGAAAGTATTACAGGAAAAAGAGAGAGAGAGAGAGAGAGAGAGAGAGAGAATACTTTCTCCTTATATAGACCACCACTGACCAAGTAGATATGTGTGAAGGCAACCTCAGCTACACAGTTATTTTAAAGCAGGGAGGATAGCTAATTTGAAGGCTTTATAAAAACACAAAATTCTCAGCTCTGGTTCAGTTCTGGCATGGCTATTTACAAAGCCAGAAGAGAATATAGAAAGAATGAGAAAGAGTTTCATGGCTACATAAAGATCAACATGTTTTATTTGGCATAGGCTTTTGTGGAGCACAGCTCACTGCATCACATACAGTATATCTACAGTAGGATGCAGTCCATGACACACAAAACATGTTTAGTCTTTAAGGTGTCAAGTGTCTTTCCAATTTCTCCAGCAACATGGTTACCCTCATAATAAATTTTACAAGAGTGAAATGGCCTGAAATCCACATTTCAAAAACACAACAGCATTTGCTATTTAATCCGGCACACATAAAGGATGTAAAAACTATGTAGGGCTTTACTTATTATTACTTCTTGGTTACGTGCCTGAAGGACACGCCTATGAATGTGTACTAGTGAAGATGGGTACATGATACCTCCAGGTATCATGTATCTACTGTATCTTCACTAGTACACAGTACTAGTGAAGTACTACCACAGTACTACCTCCAGCACACAGTATATCTGTACATTAGTCACCAGGGGTGATTGGCAGAAGTGGGCTTGTCCTTTGTGGATTTGCTAAGAGATACTTTACCAGGAGACGCTGTGTAAAACAAGATGCTAAACCAAATAGGCCTTTGGTCAGATTCAGCAACACACTTTGTGTTCTGGTCTTGTAGAAGAATTTCAACATGAAATAGTATTATTACATATTAAGATATTGCTTCAAATAAATGTAAAAGGGATCAATGCACAACAGAATTGTGTGTGCCCATGGTGATTCAATAAATATTCTTTGAACCTCTTATAGTTTAGTTTGCACAAAATCAAGCAAGGTTGGCTAGAGATAGAACACTTTTCTAATCCCAGGCTCCTACTATTTACAACATTTAGGCATTCATGTTCTTCCCAAGAGGCTAGCTAAGATTAAACATGCTTAAAATAACTCTTCAGGAAAGAAGAAGAAAGATTTGTTAAAACTTGTTACAACCTCCGTGTTAAAAGTTTCATTCATGTACATCTAAGCCTGAATTGTGCTTCAGAAAATATCTTGACATGAAGACTGAAGAAACACAATACCTGGTTTCCCATTCTGATGGGGGGCCGAGGACCTCCTGCGTATCTTGGTGACATAAAAGGCTGTAAGCACATAACATTAACTTAGTTGCAATGCACATTCAAAAGCAGAAATAAACATTACTGCCATTTCCTTACAGCTGTACCTCAAAAGTGGAGTTTGCTTGTGTTTTCCATATTTCATGCACAGGCACACACACAAACACTCCAAACCAAACATTTGATTTTGCAGTGGACTCCACCCCAACTGGGTGAAAGATTTTATGCACTGCGTTTCATACAATTTGTACCAAGTCTTCATATATTTAAGCACAATCAAACCTTTAAACAAAAACAATGGATGGTAAATTAGAAATATTTAAATCCTTTCATCTCTGGCATTCTTGCAAATTATTTTTTAAGTGGTTAGATGGCTTAAGCGGTGACAGTAGTAGGTAGATCTGCTAAAATTAGTACAAGGAGACTATCAACTAAATAGTAGAGCTTTTCCAACAGACTGTTAAATGAAAGTGAGGGGTAGGGAGGGGAGAGTTTAAGCTATTCCAATGACAAGTAGTGAAAACAATCATTTAAACCATATAATGAATGTCTACCACCATTCAGAAAAAAATAATAAAAATGGGATTTGTATGTAAATTAGCATGTCTGAAATTGAAAGCTACTTTCTAATCTAATGTCAATGGAAGAAAACACAGCCGAGAGAAGCAGACTTCCTGGTGGAGGTGGAATGATGTGGAATGGAATCAATACTGAGGGCCCGTAGCTTGACTGGATGTAAATCTGCAAAGCTCCAGGAACTAAACAGGACCTCTGGCTAATTATATTAGCAGAAGGGTGTGGCTCCCACATGCCTGAAGAGTTCACACCGAACACAAATAGCACAGCAGTGCCCTGCAAGGTCTTTACCTGACTGTGGGGTCCCATCATGCTGTTGGGGTTGTGAGGTGGAGGCTGTGCGTGTGGCGAGGGCTGAGAGCCAGGCGGTCCCTGTGAGGTTAGATAGTAGAATGTGGTTATAGGTCAGGCACAAGAACTGTGCAGCAAAATAGCTGGCTTAACAGGAGAAGCAGGCGAATTGTCACAAGGGAACCAAAGATTTGTTTCTACACATAGTAAAAGTTTTAAAAACTGAGGGAGAGGGAGAAGAAACCGGTAACTATTAAGCACAATAAAACAATTATTATAAACCGCAGAGGGGTGGGTGGGTTGAATAGTATGTGCCAGGTACATGGGTCTGTTAAAAGCCATCTAAAATTTAAGTTTCGAGTCCCTATGGCCAGATGACAAATAATAAAATGAAAATGCAACTGCAGTTCCTCTAAGATACTGAAGCCAGATGATAAATAATAAAAAAATCATTATTTTTCCGCTTCTCAGTCTCAAGCCTGTCCTAGAATTCACCATGACTGACAAACTTGTTAGTGATTGGATCCTCTGGCATTTGCAGTATCTGGATTTCGGATCACAAATGAATCCACTGCTGGAATTGTAGTTAGGCTCTGTGCAGGAGTTCCATTTCTCTATGGACGGACTAAGATAGGTGCAATGTGTGGCAATACATAATCTGTGAGCAAACATTTTCATTGCTGTACCTTAATAAATGCAAACTGTGAACTCAATTAACATAATCATCGCCAAACTATACAATTTTCTTGCCTCTTCTAGTATCAAACAGGAAACTGCACACATGGCATCACAGAAATGCAACATGCTCACCAACTGTGCCCTGGCATCTGCCCACATTAGTATGTACTTTATTCAAATTATGTTAATCAGGAGATTTGAGTAAACAATTTTTTTTTGTGGCCATATGGGTCACGATATGCGTTTGGACATTACAGCTTCTGTAAGTTGAACAAAAAGCCCTCTGAAGCAATGTAGGGCCTCAATATTCAAGGAGGCTGCATCTTCAAATGCATCTGCATAAATGTTTAAGGACTACATGCAAAATTTGCTCATTCACAATGTATTCCTATTAAATTAGCAACAGGACTCTTGTCTTCCAATCACCCTGTGGGTTAAAAGTATGGAGCAAGAGAGATTTGAGGGAAAATATTGATTAAAACTATGTTTCATGCTCCAGCTAACTAGATTGCCATAAATCTAAGAAGTTTAGTTTGGTGACACTAAATGGATAGTCTCCATATTTTTTAAACTCTTCATGTAGTACTACAGTGTTAACCTACTGAGTTTTCAAGGGTAATCCTTCAACAGGATTAACTATCAATGAAAATGTTCTCCTTTGTTTTTAAGGAGAAAAAAGATATGGTATCTGCTTGAAGAGGTGCATGTGTTTGGGGATGTAGGGAGACAATCATTTTGTATAGCTTTAATCCTGCAATGCAGTAATGTTGGACTTGGCTCAAACACAATTCCAATACCTTTCACTCCCAGACATGTGAATTTTATTCTGAAAAAGGAACACAAATACACAAATCCATGCTATGGTATATGCATGTTCTCTGCGTACTGTTTCTCTCCCCAAATAAAAATAAAATTCTAATTGGTCTGGAAAGCAAACAAAACCTGTAAGTACATTATGAGAAGCAGCTATACACTTCAGGAAAAGCAGAGGAACAGATGTTCTATACCTGCCATGTTAGTGATTTCAACAAGTGTTCGCCTTCTAGCTGCTGCCAGCAATGGCACGGTTTGTTACCATGAGCAATTTTCTTAATTAACAGACATTAATTAGCCATTTAGCAATTTTGCAAGCATTTGTTTAGCAGCTTTCCTAAACATGAATACCACTGTGATAATGGTACTGATTAGAGGATCCCCTAATTAACAGTACAGGGAAGGAAAATTGAAATCACATAAATTTAAAAGGGGAGGGGAAGTTAATGAAGGCAGGACATATTTGCACCTGCAAATCTTTTGTACTAGGGAAACTTGAGTGCAATGTAAATAAAAGAGGAAAAATTGTTAAGAGTTAACACAGAAAGATGCAGACAGAGCTTTAAACAGAAGCAGACACTGACGATCCTCCAGGTTATGTTTATGTGGTCATAGGAACTGATTTTCCATCGCATTAATAAGATCTATTGAAGGTAGGGTGCTGATATTTACTCATTAAGTCCCATAGCTGAGAATCAAGGGTTGCTTCTCGTAAGGTATTTCTTGCTCTATCCAAATATAGAATTCATGAGCCAAGTTTTAGATACAGAAGACACACATCTATTTTAAACTCTGTGTGTCCCCGCCCACCCCCATTTTAAATGCGTGAAGCAGTGGCCAGAATCCTCTTGTAGAGTTACACAAATTGTGTAACTTCTGGAGCCAAACGTTGCATGTTAAGAAGTTAACCACAGACATAATTAGTTGCACAAAGTCATACAACTCACTATGCAACTGATAATGTCTATAGTGATTTTTTTTAACTCTGAGTGATTTGCTTCCAGAAATTACACTGTTTGTCATAGCACAACACAGTGTAACCAGGTAAGATTTGGGCCACCAAATAAAATAATGATATTTTCATGGAGAAACTCTGTCCCAAATTTATTTGTGATGTTCATCCTTATCATACCACACATGCATTTTGCAGGTATGCATAGTGGACCCCTGACTAATAATGGCTTGGAGAAAGGTGGGGTAAAAATATTTTAAATAAACCCACCACGTTTACAACTACTCCAATGTTACCCAATGCCGTACACAAGCATCCAAAACTCAGTTTAATGACTTGCAAAACTGGTGTTGTCATCAGGAAGTGTGACAACACACAAAACAGAAGAGAATGGAAGTAACAGAGTAGGGTAGAAGGAGAAAACAAGACACTGTAGGGCAGACAGGAGAAAAGGGGACGGGGAGGCAGGGAGGACATTAGAAAATGGATGGTAGATGGGGGTGTCGTCAAAAAAGCAAGGAAGGCAATGGAGAATGGAGAAGAAAAGGAGGATGGGATGGAGTACTGACAACTGTCCAGGAACCAAATCCTTACTTTAACATTGACCTGAATCGGGGAAGTGGGGTTTCTTGGCTCACTTTATGATGGTTGTTGAGGAACCAATAACGTTATAAGCAATTACAGTATCAATATCAAACATCTTCTAATAGGCAACCTTCATAAAACAAGGATAATCTTTTTCATCAATTTGTGTGTTCCACCCTTGACAAAGCCTTAAAATTATTTTCTAGTTTCTATTTCCAGACAAATAAGAGTGTGGCAATTCTGAATCTGTAAAAAGGGCCGTGAGGAATACTCTTTTTGCTTCATTTGCTCCTTCTGGGATTCTTGTGTGCTGAGCTTCTAATGCTCTCCATTTTGGATTCCTGTCTACCGTGCCTACATGGTGGATCCTTTCCCTTCCCCCTTCTCTGCCTTCTGTTCTTGAATTTGGGGGATGGGTGTTATTTTATTTTATTTATTTTTTTGCTGGTGCTGCCAGGCAGCCTGCCTGTGTCTGTACCACCAGGCACCCTGGGATTTTTAAAAACTCTTCCTCCACCCAATTTCTTCAAGGATTTTCTCTCCTCTGTGATTATTATTTTTTATCCTTTCCTTCTTGGATTATTTCTGCTGCTACTTGCTGCATTCAGAAGAAGGAGAAAGCATTAAGTGGTAGGAAGAAATAGAATTGTCTCCACATTATAGTAGTGTTGGTTGAGTGTGTGTGCTTTCACTGTAGTTTTTCCCTTCTTTGCTTGCTTGCTTTTTTATTTTTGGGATAGGAGGCTGAGTGTATGTTTTTTATTTTCCTATTTTTTTCCTCTCAGTGTGCTTGTGCACATATAGACAAATGTATGTGTGTGCGTACTTTACTTGCTTGCTTGTTTTAAAAAGTTACTTGGTTAATTTACTGTTTTGTTTGCTTCTGGGGAGCAGGGGGTGGATTATGTGACTGCGCAAGTGTGCCACTGGGCTGTGTGAATGTGATAACATAAACTAGTGCCTGCGTAAGTCTGATAATTTTTCTTTCTCATGTACTGTTGCTTGGTTTTGGAGTAGACTGACTCTCTGTTGCTTTGCCTCTGCTTCTTAGGAGTAGCTTTAAATTGGAAATGCACCTTATCTAAGTTGTATTCCCTCCTGCCCTTGGAATAGTCTGTTTTAAAACCTCAACAATTCTGTCAAAAATGGCAAAAGGATAGCTAAATATCTTTGACAGAAGAATTTACTACATCACCATTTATTATATCTGCACATCTGGACTTTTGTTAGATTAACGATTTTTTAAAATGACACAACAAAGCTCTAAGTTCCACAGTGTAGTAGCATGTACCACTTCTCCAATGATTTATACTATTAACTTCCTCAACAAAGTATATTTTCTACTCAAGATATAACCTGAAAGATTATAGTACTTTGCTTCAGTTTTGTACATCAAAAGGTACCATCTACCTTTTTCTGCAGCACACTGCAGTTTTCAAGCAGAATAATCTGTTGCTAATTGAAAAAAGTAGTGACAAAGCAATTATATGTTTCCCAACTGTATCATTAGCTAACTACTAAAGGAAATCCAGCAGTTCCAAATAGGAACAGCTTTTAGGAAGCACAAAGCAACTACCCAACTATTTCACATATATTCGTTTACAACAACAAATGAGCAAATTGGCTGTAAAGATGAAATGTTCATAGAATTAAGAAGGTAATAGCCAAAACACCTAAACTACAATAAGGATACTTAAGCCAGTTCCCATTATACAAGTGCCACAACAAAAACTATCAACTTAGAAGATCTCCATTCTCAATAGATGTGCACTATATGAACAAATATGAATACCATATGCAACCAAGTCAAAAATCTCTTTAAAGATCTTCATTTATTTCATGTAACAGAGTCATCACTTGTACTATTCCCACACTACTACAACATCTCAGCACTCAATCATGTATCTTTCCTTATTCAAGCCAATGACCACTGGAACTGTGTGGGTCTCCTAGATTTAAATAATTAAAATAAAGTAACACTGCCCAAACCAGGAATTCTGCTTCTTCACACAATAAATGTCTGAGAGATCTGAGCAGAAACAGTATTTTGAGA